ATTCTTTTACCTTAATTCTCCTAACTGCCGCTAATATTATAAGGAACGCGCGTGCGGGATCTTCCGGGGATATTAAAGACGTAGGAAACAGTTTAAACCTCGTAGTAGTAAACCGTGAAGTGTCCGTAGTAATAGCGGTAGCCTCTCCCGTGGTAATAGCGGTAGCGTTAGAGTTACGAGGTTTTAAATCTATAGCCTAGTTATTAGGCTATAGATTTAGAATCTTATCTATAGTAATAGTAGTGGCCTCTTTTATAGTAATAGCGACGGCCTCGCCGTTATCCGTGGTAATAGCGGTAGTGTCGCCTTTACCCGTAGTAATAACGGTAGTATAGTCTTCTCCTATAGTAATAGCAGTATCCGTAGTAATAGCGGTAGCGTTAGAGTCTTCCGACTCGAGATCTAATACGTCTACGGCTATACCTCTTAATAGTAGCCTATTCGCGGTCTTATTAGATTAGGTAATACGGATAGATTATAGGCGTTCCCCGATTTCCTTAGCGGAAGCTATAGCTTATAGCATTTTAATCCTGCCGTTAAATATCTTATCTTCGTTAAAGACTATATCTCTTATAGTGATAATATCCGTTAGGTGTAGTAGCTAAATACGGAAGCTATTCGAGGATTATTATCCGATATAATAACCGATCTATACCTTCGGTTCTAGCCTCTATAGGCGGTTTCTTTTAGCTTAGGTATCGCGCGTCTTTATAAAGGCTTTATAGCCGCATACTCGCAGGTACATAAGGGTAGGTTAACGGTCGCGTAGGCCTTCGTATAGCGTTCGTTAGTCGTTAATATATCGTGGCGTCCTATTATATAGATATATAGCAGTCTTAAAAATCTTAGACTAGATAGATATAGACAGATTAGCCCTAATCCTTATAGCCCTCGCCCTCCTTTTAACGATACCTCTAATCTGTTCTATAACGCTGTTCTAATCCTATAAATATAGTACCGACAGCTAACCTTCCACCCCCTTAGCAGCGAGGAAAGCAACGACTTCTAGGTACTAAAATATCTTAGAATCGGCTTATAGGATATATAGCCTAATATCGAATTAGGTCTTAAGCAGGGTAAAAACTTCTTTTAACGCGTATAGGATAAAGCCTTAGTCTCTCTTCTATAGGTAGTAATCCCACGTATAACCTATAAACACGTCTATAACGAATATAATAGACTTATATAGGCGGCCTAGCGATTTCGACTCTTTTAGATTATAAAACTTAATAGCTAAGGCCTCTCCGGGCTTTAACGGGTAAAAGGATAGTATCCGCCGGATCTACGTAGGCACTTACGACTATCCACACGCATTATAGTCCGTTATACGTAGTCCCTTTATCTTTACCCCCTAAATAGCGTCGACGATCTTTATAAGAGTATCGGTGCTATAATAGCCAAGGCGTTTATACCACCGTTATACCGTGGTCTTCTACGGTTACCGCGGTTATCGTGATCTTCTATACGGGTTATCGCGGGGGTGCCTTACTAAGACTATAAATGCGGTAGCGGCCGCGGCTTCCGCGCGCTTAATTATATACTAGCCTTGGATATCTAGCAGCTTATAGATAGGCCGGTTATCGGCGGAGCTAATAATAGTATTATTTACGGTATTCTAGCAGTAACCTTATAGGCGTAGCTAGCGTTCCGAGACGATATTAGTAACGAATTCCTTATAGTATATAACGTCACGGAGGCGTAATAGCCTCTTTATACCTAATAGAGATTATATACGTAGCTTAATATCTCTGTATCCGAGGATAGGAGCCTTATAAGTACCCACCTAAAGCGTTAATAAATTAACCGTGGGTAGTCTAACGGCCGTAAAACGGCCTTAATTATTAAAGATATAGATTAACGATCCTAAGTCTAGGATTGCGTAGTATAATAGCGCTCTAGCTTAGTTAATAGAAACGGATATCCCCTATTCTTATTATAATCTTAATCGTATTATCGTACGACGACACGCTACCCCCTAGGTTAGGGGGGCTCCTAGTCTCCCCGTCGCAGTAATAGACAGGTCTTTATAAACTATAGTAGGCGTAGTATTATAGAGTTAATCTTCCTAGATTCCCTCTATCTTATTAGCGGTAATAGCCCCTAAGGCTTCCCGCCTCTTCTATATCGCGGTGTCTACGCGGCTATTAAAACTATAATTACGTATCTTCTTTTCCGTAACCTTTATAATATCTTCACGGCTATACTAGGTATAAAGGCGTATATCCGGCCTTACGTACTTATAGGCGGCGGTGGTATAGGTGTTTTCGTATATCTTATAAAGCCTCCTTATTACGGGAGGGATAGCCTTTACGGACGTATCACTATAAGGGCGCTTCTTATTATTATCGTTATTAGTAGTAGTAGTATCCTTAGTATCGGGGAGGTCCCTAAGGGTATTAAAGGTGCCTCTCCCGACTCTAGGCTTTATAGCGGTGGATTATAGGCTCTTTATATTACTAAGAACCGCACGTAAAGCCTTTATAAAGTCGTTAATCGTTAGCTCGTTTTCCGTAATCTTATCATAGTTATTTACCAGGTAGTTATTACTCTATTCTTAGCCGATAGGTCTAATAGCTTTTAACGCGTCTTCAGCCTAATAGTCCGTGCTTAATAGCTCTATAACGCCTATATATTTATACTGTATTATCGCTATTTTCTAGCTTACTACCTAGGCGTCTATATCCTTAGGTATAGCCTTTATAGGCGTACTGTAGTATTAGTATAGAACTAGGGCTTCCTTATAGAGGTCTATAGGTATTAGTCCTACGTACGCGTATAGGAGGGTAATCTAGGCCTATAGGTTATTTACGGTATTATTCTATAGCTAGGCGAGGAGGTTATATAATATAGTATAGATAGTTCCTTCGATATAGGAATATACCTCGTTAAATTCCTTTTACTACGCGTCGTAGTCTACCTTTTCCTCGCGGTATACACGGCGGTCTTATAGGTAATACGTACGCCCCTTTTTAGAGAGGTCGTTAATAGATATAGGCGTCCTAGTCAGGGGCTTTTTTAGTATAGCCGTGGCCGTGGCCTTATAGCGGGCGCCCGTCTTCTTCTTACCGGTAGCCGTAATAGCGGCCGTGGTAGCCGTGCCTTCTATAGTATCCGTGGCCTTATCGCCCTTTAGTATAATAGTAGAAGACGGAGTAGCCGTGACGGTAGTGGCCGTGGCCTCCTCCGCGTTAGGGTCTATAATAAGGGCTTCGTATTTACGAATGTTAGGGGGTATAGGTATAAGGAGGAGATAGGCGTTAGCCTCCTTATCGCTTAGCTTTAGATTAAGGTAGTTATCCTAGTAGGAGGCCGATTCACCGCGTACGGCGCGCTCCTAAACTACCTAATCCCTTTAGTTAACGAGAGTGGTAGCGGCCGCCTTTTATTCGGTGTTAGATATACTAGAAAATATCTTTACTAGATTATCGTTTATCAGTTAGTTAATTAATATGTTGGTTAATTAATCTCTTAATTACTCTAATTAAGTTGATAATAGTTATTTAAGAGTGTTTATATAGATATGATTACTTCTTTATAGTGGAATAAGCGTAGCCTTATTAATATCTATCATTTAGGCGTTATAAACCGGGCTTATAACTATCGTATATTAAATAGACAATTAAATAATTAACTTAGTAAAGCAGAAATCTCGTGTATATATATTATATTAAGTTATATCTAGGAGAGTCTCTTATACCCTTAATTTAGGTGGTGAAGACTGTATTATAGGTACTATATCATTTAGATCCTATCCGGTCTTTTCCGGTATCCACCCTTATCATATCCTAATACCCAAAGTCCCCGATATCCGGAGCCCTTAGTCATAGAGTGGATCCCCCCTGGATCCCCTATAGACCATATCGTGGTCCTGCCCATGCGACAACCGCTGCCACCGTATTTTATAGGGCCCTACTAGCGCGCCCGTACAGATGAGTATTTTGCCCGTAATATGGTGGGGCCCGCCAAGCATGATTAGTGACCTAAGTACCATCCCATTTTATATATACACTTTAGGTACCCAAACACATAGATACAGCACCTTTTCTAACTTATCCACCCACCCGTCTTTTTCGCACACCATCAATTAAGGCACCAACATAACCCACGATATAGCAGATTATAATAGCTGAAGAACGACCCTGCGGCTCTTCTTAAATAGTAGGGTTATCGTGATAGTTCGCGATAGTGATTATAGTGGTTTAGTGCTTCGGTTTGTGTTTGCCCTTTAATTGACTCTCTACTCCTGTATCTATGTGTTTAGGTACCTAAAGTATACATACAAAATAGGTTGGTACTTAGGTCACTAATCATGCTTAGTGGGCCCCACCATATTACGGGCAAAATATTTATCTGTACGGGCGCCCTAGTAGGGCCCATTTTATATAGTGCAGATTCTGTAAGCGTGTACCCGGATGATAATCTTAGTAATCCGGCCCGTTACGTAACAGAAAAGACTATGGTCTGTTCGATATTCGTCAGTTAACTTCAATGTTTAACACTTCGACATTTATTAGGCTTAACCCCCGTCAGTCATCCTGGTAGTTCGCACTGCAACAACAGGAATGTCGGCAACACTGCCTCGCTATCCAAAGCCTTTCAGCCGGCTCTTTCGTCGCACCCACAGAGTATCCATACAGTACCAGTCAGCCCAGTGGCCTTTTGGACGTGGCTGGTCCAGACCTTATTCTGTGCTTGCCCATCTTGAAACAGATGTCATCAGCCAGCCCAGGACGGGTTGCACGTGGCTCGGCCACACGGGGCCGGCAGGCGTGGACTTGAGAAGTAAGTCCCTATTACGGACAGGCTGGCAATGAAGTTGACATCTCATTGTCCCAAGGCGACACTATGACGACGCCGACACCGGTGATGCTCTCGGCCGTGGAGGGATGCTCTCTGCTGGATGATGTCTTCATGGAGGACCATACCACAATAGACCTGGAAGCACACATGGCTGCTTTGACAGGCAAAGAGGCGGCACTTCTTGTGCTCTCGGGTACAATGGGCAATCAGCTTGCCCTCCGGTCGCTCCTTACCCAGCCACCACATGGTGTCCTCTGTGATCATCGTTCACATATCGTGCAGTACGAAGCAGGCGGGTATGTCCATCCATTCCCTCCCTGCAGCTAGCAGAGACGGTAATTGTGCGAACCCTTTTTTAACTGCTCAAAAACACGCTCTTTTATTCTAGAGTATCCTTCCTGACTGGGGCATTGGTTCAAACCGTTATGCCAGAGAACGGCATTTACCTGACACTTGAGGATATTGCCCGAAACGCATGCATCGACGAGGACGTCCATTCCTGTCCCACGAAGGTAATCACCCTTGAGAATACTCTCAATGGTGTGATCATGCCCCTCAGAGAGATGAAACGAATTGCCGCCTTTGCACGACAGCATCGCATCGCACTTCACTGTGATGGTGCGCGACTATGGGAGGCCTCTGCAGCCGGAGCTGGTAGCCTTGTCGAATTCTGTTCTTTATGCGACACTGTGTCGCTCTGTTTTTCTAAAGGGCTAGGCGCTCCTATTGGCAGTATATTGGTCGGGTCTTCTGAAATCATCAACAGAGCGAGATGGATCCGCAAGTCTATTGGTGGTGGCCTACGACAAGCAGGGGTTGTTGCCGCGCCAGCAAGGGTAGCTGTGGACGAGACGTTCGGCAAAGGACCCAACGGCGAGGGTGGTTTGCTGCAAGACTCGCATATTGTCGCCAAGATGATTGAGGATCTCTGGGCCCGGTTCGGGGGAAAGGTTCTCTACCCTGTGCAAACAAACATGTGCTGGCTCGACTTGAAGGCGGCTGGTTGCTCAACGGCGAGATTCGTCGAACTTGGGCAGGATGCGGGCCTTAAGCTGATGGGAAACAGACTCGTAGCACACTACCAGATCGCTCAAAATCAAGACGACGTGCTCCAGAGACTCGAGCAAGTATTTCGTCGCTTATGGGAAGAAAAGGCAGGGCAAGACACAGAAGAGGCGATAGAGAATAGCCTTTACCGAAATGAGACCTGAAAGCATGCAGCTTTTATTGCTGTTAGATGCTGTCAGCACATAAATAAGGTACGCAAAAGATCTGTGTGTGTATTGAAGAAGAGTAAAAAGTACTCTGCGGAAATGTCTAACTCTAAGGTAAAAGGAGGGGAAATCGATGTGGATGTATCGGTCGGAAGTACCCTATCCGTGTATAGAAATAGCGTAAGTTATACCCTGATAAGGTGGCTGTAGGTATCTCATATAACCCCCCAGAACTGCAGGATTTATCCTAACTATTCTGCTTAATTAAAGCCGTAAATCTAGGGTAAAATAGAGCTTAGATATTAATCTAACGGTTAAATGGCTTATTAAAAAGCGCGCTCTTTTTATGCCTAAAAACGTTAAAAACGTGTAAAAATAGGTGGATAAATTAACCCTAAAATAACGTCTAAAACGGGTGCCTAAATATTAATCTAAAGGGCACTAAAAATAACGGTTAATCTAGGCTATAGATTTTAAACTCAACACCGCGCCTTTTATGAATTGCCTTAACCCCCCTGGCTTAGGACCTCTATCCCTAGCAGATATATAAACGCCTTGTGTTTCTGCAGGGAAAGTACCTTGGTTAGCCTATCGCTAACTATCTCTTAGGTCGAGATCCAGGCGATTAGGATCTTTTTCCATTAAACGACCTATCGGATCTAAAGGGCGTGGATATCTAGATATTGTAATCCAGATATAACCTAAGGGCGTAGAGCCTCTAAAAGGATCCTTATTTAGTCGTTATCGTAGTATATCGTTAAAGGCTTATTTTTAAAGGTTAAGGTTAGGTCCTTAATTAAACGCCTAATCGCGATATACTGCCTAGTAGTAGTAGAAAGGGCTATAAGCTCGGCTTTAGTGCTAGAGGTTATAACGCTTATTTGCTTATTTATCTTTTAGTCTATAAGGCCACCGAAGAATAATATAGTATAGTCTTAGGAGCTATACTAAGCCGTAATTACGGTTATCCCTAAAGGCCGTATTAGAAGTATAGTAAAGTGCGTGCTATAGGTGGTTATTACGTAGTCTAAAGTAAAGGTATAGGGACTTAGTAGAGGTGAGGTACTTTAAATACCTATCTACGGTATCGTGATACTATTTGAACGGGTTAGTATTAAATTCGGTAAGCCTCGAAGCGGCTTTAGATATATTAGGCCGAGTCTAATAGGCCGTGTAATTAATAGAACCCACCTTCCGTAGATATAGATAGATTAATTCTATAAAGGCTTATTAGTCAGTAGTAGATAGTTCTACAATATTAGAAAAAGGAAGAGGGCTTTTAACCCTACGCCCACTAAAGGGGAAATCTATCCCTAAAGCCTTAATCTTTTCGGTGATATCGTTCTCGAGCGAAAGCTAAAGCCGACGTTATTAGCGATCTTAAACCACTCTAATCCCTAGGAACTATTTAAGTAGCCTAAGGTCCCTTAATTAAAAGTGCTGCTATATCCATTATATAAGAGAATTAGTAGTAGATTAATATTCCTTCCTATAGATTAGAATAATATCGTCCACGTAGAAGAAAACGATTAGTTCTTTGCTTTTAAAGACGTAATCGTCTTTAGTTAGTTACTTTAGGTTATACTTACCTAAAACGGAAGAGAGCTATTCGTGCTATAGCTTAGGGGAGCGAAATAGGCTATATAACGCCCTGCGTAGGTGTTAACTACCGCGCGAGGGTGGTCGTGATAGCTTTAAAAGAGCCTCGAGGTCCTTATCGCTCTGTATGCCTTTTACTGCTTAAAGTCGCGGCTAGTCGGGCGGATCCTTAATATAGATCTCCCTGTTAAGGTTAGCGTTAGTAAAGGCGTTAACGGTATTAATCTAACGTGTTTGTAGATTCAAGTAGGTAGTAGTAGCTATTAACGACCTAAAGGTCCTTCCTATAAGGCTAGAGGCGTAGGCGTTAAGGTGGTTTTTGGGCTATTAATTGCCTTATACGTATAACCTCGCCTTAAACTTACTAACGTACCCTAACGGGTTAACCTTATACTTAAAGACCTATTTAAGATCTAAGGTATAGTTCCTACCCTGGGGCAGTTCTGCTACCTTAAAGGTGCCTATTAACCTAAGTATATCTATCTCTTATATGGCTACCCTAAGCTATTATAGCTTATAGGGCCTCTTTAGTATCTAAGACTAATTTAACGGTTACTTAGGTATCTCGCGGCGTAATAGCCCCTTTTTAGCTTCTTAAAGGTAGAGTGGGAGACGTAATCATTATATCTGGAAGGAGGTTAGCGATTACGAGCAGTCCGCCCTATAGGAGTAGGCGTCAAAGCTAAAGTAGGCGAACGAGAGGTTAGTTATTAAGCCGTAATAGTAGTAGTAGTGGTAGGATTAGACTTAGCTGCTAAAGATAGGGTTACTGCTTATAGATTAGAGGATTAAGGAGTAGTGGTAGTGGTAGTGGTAGTGGCCTCTTTAAGAAGAGATTGGTTAGGTGATAATAATTCTATTCTGACGGTATCGTCGGTAGGCTTACCTAAGGTAGAGGAAAAGACTAAGAAAGAACCGCTAGTATCTTTAGATTCCTTTTGATCGCTGCGTTTAACCACCGTAGTTATAGACGTTTAAGGATTGTTAGGAGGTGGGGAAAAGGGCGTATAAGTAGGCCTCGAAGAAGAGGTTATTAAAGAGGGTAGAATTAATGCTGTTATTAAAGAGGGTTATAAAATAGTAGTCAAAGAGGAAAAACTAACGCTAGGCATAACGGCAGGCACTATGCCTGCCGCGGAGGTGGTAGCCGTTCTATATAATGCCTTTTGGTTAGTAACCTGTTAGTTTTTAGAGGCGTTTTCGATAGTTTTTACGTTAGTGGTGGTTTTTAATCCTTTACTACCACCACCGCCGGCTACTTCCCTAGATCTTAATAATTAAGGTTGTTATTAATGCCTCCTTCCCTCTTATAAAGCCTTTATCGTGGAGTTCTGCTATATTACTATAAGTAGACCGAAATCGATAATATCGGTTATAATGCTAAAAGGATTATAGATCCGACTTTAATCTTAGTAGATTAAGCTCCTTAAAAAGCTATATAGGTATAGGTATATTGGGCTCCTTCCCTCTATTTTTATAAAGAACTGACTCGTTAAAGACAACGTCTCTTATACGTAGGATCCTATCACCTAATTAAGGAACTAAAATCCGAAATATATTAGTGCCCTTAAAGCCGATTAAATAACCGATATACGCTCTCGGCGCTAGCTTCTTATTCTTACAGCAACCTCGTAGGTAGTTAGTAGTTATCGCGTACGTCTTATAACTATACCTTTTTAGGTGAGTAATTAAGGGATTGGTTCTGGCTGTGAAGTTAATAATACCCTTTTTTTATAGCCACGCGTTTAACGCTCCCTCGGGGGTTTACTAGCCTAGATCCCTGCGTGGAATCCGGTTATATAGGTACGTGACTGCTATAATAATATCTAGCTATAAATCCTAATAGAAGCCTAATACCTTTACTAGTATCCTCGCGATAGCTAAGATAATACCCTTATACTATTCGGCGTTAGCGTTCTATACGGCTATATATAGAGCTGATCTTTCTAGCAGGATACCACGATCTAAAGACTAGTTATTTAGCTTTTTTTATGGCGCCCTTTTGCCGTTAACTCTGATTATACTAATATGCAGCCTATACTGCCTTTATAAGAAGAGTTCGAAGTTAGCTATCGAGGATAGTATATATTTACGCCCTGGTATTATTCTAGTTATATTCTTATGCGTACAGGGGTCGTGGAATAGGGTAACTATATCGTCGCCGTTAGCGGTAGTATCTATAGAAAATAGATCCCCCTTAATCCTCTAAAAAGGCTTTATTAGCCTATGGGTAGGTGGATGTCGTGATACTATCCTTTTTACCTTACTAATAGCGCAAGCCTTATAGTCTACCACTAAAGGTGCCGCTCCTCCTTTTAAAGCTAGAATACCTCCTATATAGCCATTTAATAGCTGCGCCAGTTATTAAGGGTTAGCGTGCCCAAGCCTCTTATACTATAAACGGACGTCCGCTACGCTTATAGGTGTTGATATTACTAATAATATCCTTCGAGTATATCCTTCGAGTACCTTTATACTCGAATAAAGGATATCTTCCCCGCATGCCTAGACAAAGGATTACGTCTTAGACAAAGGATTATATTATTATTACGATCTTAATTCTCTTACAAAGAAGGAAAGAACAAAGGATATTAACCCGTCCCCTCAGTTCGGTTCTTCCTTCCTTTGTTCTTCTTCTTTATCGCTTTTACACAATCTATACGCGCGCAGAAATCCTACCTTATAATTCCATTGTTACCGATCTTATTGTTCCACTGCTTTTCGTGACTTTCGTCTCTTCCACTTGTCCGCAATCTTCAAAAATAGGCTTTGGTTCCCTCGAGCTGTTGAAATACCTCTGCTATTGCTATAGGCGTTATAGCGTGTCCTCTGTCGGTTTAAGGGTATAGTAACCGTTAATATTGGATAATAGTAGGTAGGTACGTCGATTTATTACTAAGATATCTCTGCCGGTTATAAAAATAGCGTTCTAATCCTTCTCTAACCTGTGTATGGTAAGTAGTGTTATAGGATATCTATCTAGAAATGCTACGTTCTTTAATATAAGGTGTAAGGATGACCTTTAGTATTTCTAACCTAAAGATATAGCGTGCCGTACCCCTTTACTGAATTATAGATGCGGCTACCTGTTTAAAGTCTGATGATAGTGGTAGTAGGTTGGAAGTCCTTGAGTAGGTGGTGTTAATTGGTTATATGCCTTAGGGACCCAGAATCGATTAATAACTAATTAAAAAGGTCGTTACTAACCACCTATTTAGTCTATAGTAGCGAGAAGACCGATAGCGAGGTTGAAGAGGTATTTAATAGCACCTTTTTACCTATAAAATTAGAGGCAAAATATATATCGTAAGGGCTATCGTTAGAATCCTCTTCCTTATTATTAACGAAATTAGATACTTCCTTAGACTAATCTTTCTCTGGTGACTTAGCTTTGGACTCTGTTGCCTTGCTTTTCGCCTTATCGATATTCTTTTTAATATACTCTCTAAACCTCTTTTACTTAGAAGCACTCTAGCTCTTAAGAACGCGGTCGTAGTATTCTACTACCTCCTTCGTGGGCGTAAAGCCGTTTTAGCGGCGCGTCGGATTAACGTTCGGGTAGCTACTCCACAGAAGGTAATAGCGTTTAGCTCTTCTTATCTTAACGTAATCGTAGATAAATTCCCTAGGT